GAAAGGTCAAGGCCACCATCCTCAGCTGGGGGAAGATCCTCAGCAGCTGTCGTTTGCGAATCAGTAAAGGACTCAAGGGCTGCAGAAAGCGGTGGCGTACGGGGCGTGTGAGACTGAGCCGAATCCTTGGGTTCTTCGGTAGCGTTAACCATGGTGACGGAACCGTCAGCGTCTACTACGACCTGTTCGTCGGTGAAAGCAACGGATTTGCGAGATTTACGTTCGGTCGGTGCCTGTAAAATGGAGAGAAAAAAAGGTAAATGCGTTAGTAGAGGATTCGATTGAGGGGGCGGTGTTGCCGGCGGTCGTGGATAATGAATGATGATGGTGAAGGTGGCGGTTAGGAAAATGTGAGTCAAAGGTAGAATAAATTGATGTCAACTCGCCTGTTCTCCGTCCCAAAAGTGGTGTAGGATGGTACAGAGGTACTTTCACACTGAGGATGATGGTGGGGTAAAAAGTGATAGGGGGAGGCAATGATAGGCTGGTTGATAGGGCGCTGGAGGGTTTTTGGAGGGGTAAAAGATTGGGCCTGTGCGGTTCAAAGGGTACAAGGACATGGAAGACCATGAGAGCCTGGTACACATCTGAGGTTCACATGGAAGCCAGGCTGAATGTATTGCAATTGTAGTGTATCGGATAGGTTGTATTTTGGCCCAGAAGTGAGTCGGTAGGGAACATATGTGTCTTGACTCACCTCGCCCTCCATGGTTGCTTCTGCAATTGTGATTGCTTAGAAGACGTTTCTTTTAATTTGTTGCACAGCGCGCACGCAGTTGTACCGGAAGTTTTTTTGGGATGTGGGTGTCGACTCCGTACAAGGTGAAGAAAGCTCTTTTTTCCTTTTTCTTTCACGAGCTCTCGCGCAACAATAATAGGTGTTTTCGAGTCGCAGAGCTTTTGCGCGTTCTGTTGATATGCTTCTTCCGATGGATTTTGTTGCGGGTTAACAAGGTAGAGGTGAATGAATCCAACGTCATGGGCGGATGCGATACCTTGAGTCAACAGCGCAAGCGGACCCCATCTCACGATAGTAAATCACGTGTTATCTCACGTGTATAGCATCACCACCAATCGCAACCAATCAGGCAGGAAGCTGTTCATAGCTTCCCCGGTTCTGATCGGAGTGTAGCTCCGGGTGCCGATGCGACTGTAGTCTTGACGACTGTGACGAACATCACCTCGGTCGTCGTTTTGGTTGTCTACTGTCGCAATTCAGAGGTTTCTGGCATTCCTCCCTACGAACAAACTCGTCATACTCGAATCCTCCAAGAACAGTGGCTGTTTTTAGCTTCTACACCGATCCGAACTCTTCGAGTTATTGTCCCATCCGAAGCGGCCCGTGATTTCAACGTCCCGCCATCATTCATATATCAACCTCGAATGCAGATTTAGTCCTTTTCGCTACCTAATCCAACGATACCACGCGCCAACGAGAAACTAGTGTTGACTTACCACTTAGTCAAGGGTTGGAATCTCATACCTACCACCACCACAAGCATGGCTGCCGACTCTTCCCTCGTCGACCTCCATGATGCGTCCATGTCCGACGATAAGGACGACCTCGACTCTCTCCCCTCCATATCAACCGACGACATTTACTCCGATGTTTCCGACTCTGATGCACAAGCCGAGTGGGAACGTAGTCTGGAGCAGTTGCAATTGATATTGACTATGATGATCGTCCCCTGGATGGGTAAATACTTTGGTCGCAAGTTTGCCTACTGGAGTAAGTCTTTCTCAGTAGCGGCCTGAAGCTCGGCAGATTCACTGACACATCTCTAACCAGGTTGGTCGCGATATATGGAGTGGGCACACAACGTCAATGTTCGATTAACGGATAAGAAAGCATTTAAGGCGGCAGGTGTTGTTGAGACCGCGGCAACACTATAGACGACATACACGTCCAAGGACGAGGGGCACTCTGAAAACAGACACGACAGACGGATCCTTAGGAGCATGCATGGCTTTAGTACGGTGTTGGGGTATTCCTGATCGCATATTTTAAAATAGATGACTATACATGTCCACATCATGATTACGCTCATGCTCCCCGTTCGACAGGAATTGCTCTCGACCATGATTCCAGGGCCAATAGCTTCTGAGGTAGTCTACAGCACCATATCACAAATCATGACTGCATTCAAACTAATTACTACATAATCATTACCCGTCGTCCAACTCCCGTGCTGATCATACTTCTTCCTCTTCTCTCATACAAAAAATTAACACATTCCAATATTCCTGGTATAAACAACTCAAACGTAGGTCCTTTTGGACGCCAACATGGGACATTATCATCAACAATTGACGACACTCTTCGGGTACGCCTTTTATGATACTGTCCCAAATGATTGGCCCAGTGTCACGCAGCCTTGGTACAGCCTTGCTGATCCGACCACAAGCTCCCATGATCGCGTTAGCGACATTCTCGTGCGACAGATATCCCATCGTAGGATGGCGCCTTGGTGCCATATGGTTCATCACACACTGGACGAAATCTGTGACATGGATGGTCTTGAAGCGGCGCTTCGGAGAGAGCCATAGGTGTTGCGGGCATTTCGGATAGTCAAGAATAAACTTCCAGATACACAAGCAAACAAAAACCATATAAAAACTGTGCTTGCTTGCAATCGGCGACATCGGCCCTCATCACTCGCTGATCCCCATGCAATCCAGTCCGTTGGCAATGCTTTAGGGTTTATCTCTCCACAGCTGACGACGCGCAGCTTGGCAGCAAGGACAATAGCTCCAATGAAGGTGAAAAGAACGGCGATGGCATCGAGTGGGAGTTGCAGAAGCGGTTTGTCGAGAGCAGAGACGAAGAAGCTAAGGAGGCCAATGATGCAAACGATCCAACATACGACTGCAACAAACATAATAAAGTTGACAGCAGCAGTTGCGGAGCCTATAGCGTCGATGTTTGATGAAATAACACTGCCAATAAGTGCTGTTAGGAGGATAGTCATCAATAGCCCTGTGCCTCGCAGGATCATCTGTATAAGATTGTAGCGCATGATGGGCAACTGATGATGCCCAATATGCGGTCTACAACGGCGTTGATGGAAGTGCAGTAGTGGTTACACGGAGAGTAGTCGTGGCACTGGTGGGAGTGGGTCGGTAGTCTCTGCACCGTAGATGTGTCGATAAGATGGGCTATGCGAGTAAAACGCTGCTCAATGGGTTCGTATGGTATCGTAGGTGGTGATAGAAGGGTTGTTGATCGGCAGCAAACCTGGAGCAACTTATGCGGGGATGGCGATGTTCAGCTACCGCAGTAAGGCTGGAATTCTTGATGGAGGATGCATGTGGAGTTAAATCGAATCGAAGTAAAGTGAATTGACGTGATGTGATGGGTTCTAAATGAGACGTTGGTGATGGGGGTCTTGGCTGGCTACTTCTCTTTGCCCATTGCCCAAGCAACCGCCAACGACTACACCTACTTCAATGACTTTGGGAAGGTCCCGTCAATCGGCCTAGGGTTGCAGTGGAAGGCCAGACCGTTTCTGTAACGTCCACGCAAGCTTCTTTCCCTATTGCCCGGCTAATGGACCATACAAATACGCCGGATAGGAAATGAGGTCCTGATTCCTTGATCCGATCTCTCATTGTGTTTCATGATAAACTATTGGCCCAGTGAATGGCTTTGACAGTGAGTGATTAAGGGGTGTTGACCAATCAGGGCTTTCGCAGAACTGTCATTACTACATATTTACATTCCATTGCCGCTACAGAACAACGGATCTGCGAGTTGCTTTTGACTGTTAATTTGACCAGCCGCGTGTTGGGCGTTAAAATGTTGAAGAAGCTTCCTATGTATTTTAACGATCCATTCTTTGGTTCATGTTGCTGCTGCGCCTCAAAGTGCTGTAGGTACTAAGTGCCTGGCGGTTGGCAGGTGAACCACTTCCATGGATCCCCGGGAATGATGGCGGCTACAGTCATACTTCTTATTTGATTCGCCGCCATTCTTACCAGCTCAATGGTTGCAGCCGGGCCATTCGGGTCGTAGCTGCAGAAAAGGGTCCTTCCGCCCCTCCCTCACCCACTGGTCATGCAAGTCATTGATTGGATCAATTCCTAACTTCCAACTATCTCATTCGACACAAAATCATGTTTTGCCATCAACTCAAAATTTTGCATACCAATACCTTAAACAAGCTTTCAGCCAACATTACGTTTTCCGTCAACTACCTAGGTCTCCGCCACCAGCTAGCCACACTTGAACACCCCCCCGAATTAGTGCAGAGCCACTGACTGATTTGAATCTCACATCTGCGCGGAAGAGGCACCTGTCACTGTTCATCTGCCGTACGCCATGCCCAACCATCACTCGGGCTCGTTTCTCCTTGCAAATCCCTTTTCTGTCAGAGTGCAGATGGCGTCTTGACCGTTTTGACCCGTCACTTCGAGAATATTCATCAAACAGGTTCAGCAGTACAGTCATGTATTCCCTTCGCCAAGACTGTTTTCGTGTTCCTACAAGATCGATTCTCTCTTCCTAGTCAATTCCAGGTGTCAAATGTCTTGAGCGTCGGCTCCACAACGCAACAAGCCTGTTTAGCACAAGACACCAAAAGCATAAAGACCAAAAGCACGTATCTGCTGCTTGGCAAAGTGGCTCACCTTGCCCCTCCTCAGATACCCTCACAATTGTTGAGTAAACATTTATCATGATAAATCCAGTATGCTAGCCTGACCTTATGATCCTGATATGGCCCTAAAGGCTCGCGCTCAGCTCGGAAAGAGATGCCGCAAGATCTGCATCATGGTACTGCATGCTTGCGCTGTCGATGGCCGGAATGCGGCTTGCAGATCTGCAAAAGTCGCTGCACTCACCCAATCGTGGGGGACCGATATTTTACGGAGAATTGAAGTAAAGAAAAATACAGGATAATCTCCCGTCATAAGCGGTCAAACCAGGAACCAGTTGACTCGAGTGGCCCCACGACCTCATTCACTTGCTAGCGACTTCGTTGACGCCATTTAATCCAACCCACTCAGGCAGCCTCATATTCCCTCGAATTCCCCTCACCAACAGATTGCAGCTTTGGTGTGACTCTTACCACCTGTAACTGGCTGGCTTTTGGGCAGTATAACTCCTTGCTGCAGCTGTCAACCTCATCTTGGAGCCGGGGTTGTTGGGTAGATCCGCTGTCAGTGTCTGCAAGAAAGAGCCTCATCGACTTCAGTGTGATCAACGTTGTTACAGGTTTCACGTCAACAATAGGTAACGCCATACGGGATGTCACTCTTCACCGCTTCGTACCACTGAGTGGCACTTCTTCCACGTACCGAGCCACCGGTTCTCTCTCAAACTCTGATGAAGATGCCCTTTACCAAAAAGTCTGTAGCTTCAGCCCAGTTTAACACAGAAGTTCTATCCCTTCCCCCGGGTCCTTGCTTCCAGAGCCTCGGGATGCCCCATGCTCATCACCGCTACATCGGGGGTAAGCTCATGGCATGAGAGCAGCGATCCAAGTTCAAGATCTACCCCTTTCTCTAAACCTCTCGGGTTGTTGGCGTCTTTCTGGCCGTGATGTATTCGATACCTTGATGCTTGCGAGCAACGCCTTCTGTGTTGGGTGTGAGGCAAATAACCTTTACCTGGTGCCAGACTATTGATCTGGTTGCTTTCGCCAGGCCTCCTTTTGCACCATGGCCAGAATCTCATGGCACTGACCTTTCCTCTTGGGGCAGAAAACTTTGCCTCTTCCGGTATTCTTCTGGAATTTTGTCAAGCTTCTATGCAGCTGGCCAGCATCTGATACCTTTACACGCCTCCTCAAGAATTAGAGTTTTAAACATTCAATTTACCAACTTTCTGGATTACCCAAAATGGTCACTGTCGACGAAACTGGCACAGGGGCTCGAAGCCAAGACGCCTTACCCTTCCAGCTGGTCTTGCACCCTACACAGCACAGTAGGCGTCACACTCACGTTATCAAGCCATATGTGGCCACTGGGTCGAGCCAGGCTTTCGATAGTGACGTTTGAAGCCTCAACGTCCGAATTAAGGGTCGTCCGCAAGCCTTTAGGTCGGAAGTTTTTCAGCAAGAAGCCATGGCCATGAGCCTCGGTACTGAGAAGCTAGCCTGCTACAGCTTGATTGCAACGAAAACCAAGCGTCGGGAGAACGAAGGAGCATCTCAGTGAGACAATGAGTCGGTTGCTTTCCTGTCCATGCAGTCGCTCCACCTGGCAATCTCATACCGACATTTTTATCGCCGAGGCCAAAATAATAACTGGGCCTTAGATCACAGCTAAGCATCCACGAGGTTGGAGCCAACTGCTTGCCGTGGGTATCCAGGAACATGCAATGCACAACATCTAACACTAAAAGCGAAAAGAACTTAGCTATAGAGCATCGTGACGATCAAATACTGGCGCTGGGCCTGGTGTTCGCTCGGCTTGCTGGTAGTTCGAAGATAAACTTTCCTGGCGCAAGCGCCTTCAACGTTTTTCCGACCCTGAGATAAGTGTGGAAGCGGCCGCTCTCCATTTATGGGTACGATATGCAGAAAGGAGCATCAGCGGCTCATATCCAAACTCTATCTGATCCCCCTCAACCCAGTCGGGATCCCGAGATGGGTGCTCACGGAACTACAATTCCCTGATCTAACTCCGTCCTTTGACGGTGTTGCCCAAAAGACCGTATTTCATATGGACTCTAGCCTTTTTGTATCAAATAGAGCCTAGGAAAGGCAATATTGTGGCGCAACGTTAATGAAAATGGCGGTGTGATCATTGAATACGGCGAGCCAACGCGTATGATTCTCTGTATGGATCCAAATGTGATGCCCTACTGTAGGCTTTGGTTTTAGCATTGTCCACAGACTCATCAAAACTGGTCTAAGAAGTCAAAAGTGTCTTCCGCACGGTCAAAATACTATTCTCGGCGACAGGTCATACAGCAGTTGAAGTCAGCTACAATGGTCTGAGATGCCGGTAAAGCAGAACGCCTCAACAGCACCCGATTGTATGGTTCCACAATCTTTACATTCCTATGGATATTATTGAGCGTTTCAAGCTCCCACGGCCGGTCAGGTAGATTTATCCGTACGGTCTGAAGTGCAAGTTGGTACGATGTGTGGTAGGCCCCTGTTAGACAACACTCATAAATGTGCGTTGGTATAAATGTTATACGATATATCATGTGTTCTGATTGAATATTGAAGACTCAGTTATACTTAGGCAGAAAGTTATTGACATCTTGGCACTGTAGTTGACGAAAGCTTCACAAGATTTCACCTATTCATTCTGGTGGAAGTGGATGGTCCAACGTCGGTGGAAGTGGGGCGAGCACCGGCCCCGGGATCGGAGTCTCGGAGCGGTACAACGGCAGGGCTGTAACTAACTGCCACAGCTGCGTGCCCGGATGTGGGATGCGTTAGCGGATGTTCTTTATCAACTGGCTGCAGATCATAGATCTGCACTGGAGCGTTGGGCAACCTTTATTGGAAAAGATGTGATTTCTTAGCAACTAATCTATTATACTCACTCCTCTCTGGGTATTATAAATTTGGAAGGCAAAGTCAGTGAACAATTCCATGGTCTTTTGTTGTGTTTCTCGATTGTTTTTTTTTTTTGCACCTCTAAACTCGGAGGTCAACGTTTTTGATACCCCCCCTCTGATTGATAATGTATGCACATGCCTAAGCTGAGCTGACGGTGTTAGTGAGAAGCTATTAACAATTAGTGATGTGAGTGTAAACTCAAAGGTGCAAGACCCAACAGTGGGAAATGCACATAATCATGTCCGGCTAGTGTGGCAGTAAAAGCTCCTCAATATTGATGCAGTATGATGCTATTCATGCTTAACGAAATGCTTTGATATGGCGGGATGTTGCCGAAATAAGACACTTGTCTTGGGACGCTTGTCTTGTCCGGCTTATCAAGGGCAAACACAACATAACATGCAATACACAAGTGGTGAGGTGTCAAGCGAGCCAGTTCCATGAACTAGATGGTTTCAATATTAACAAATGTTTATCCACGTTAGATAGAAAGGTTCGGAAATGATGATTTGTACTTCGCTTGGTCAAGCATGATTTCGTGAGCTAGTCTATAATATGCCTAATGTTTCAAAAACACAAAACTGCAACTGTACGCCATGTGGTATTTCTATTATACAAAAAAATTCTTTGTTAAAAGATGAGATCAAAAGTGGATAAGAAAAATAAGGTGAAGAACAGTCAAGTACTATAGCTCTGAATCCAACCCAAATGGTATCCATAAAACATGACTCGAAGGCGGACAAAATTATAAAACGACTTCAGAGGAGCAGGCGACTGCCAGCAGCCGAAGACGATTCGTTAGTTAAAAAAAAGTAGCCAGAAGAAAGAGTCATGGCAAAAGTGGGAAAAGATAATGAAACGAAGAGTAAAAGCAATAAGCCTCCGCTACACAGCGGTAACGAGTCAAGAACAAAGTTAACGACGAACACAGGGGCAATTGTTGGAAACAGTCCAAAGACCGGCATGACCCGCATCGTCATCAAGAGTTTGAGACGATGCGACGTAGATTTATCTACATGAGTCAAGGCTTGGTCGAGAAGGAATGGAAGGAAGACGAAGACACTCCTTGGAAACGCCACTCTATTGTGTTCTGCAGCCCTGTATACTAGGAGGCGACAGGGTAGACACAGACAGGTCGCATAGACATGGACAACACTGTAAGTACAGGGCAGTACCACCGGAGATTGGCCCCAGTAGTACCAGAAAGCGGGGCGCCATGCGAATGATGCTGGATGGCAGAATTCCTGACCCACCAAGCTAACAGGCTCGGACTCAGGAACCGGGGCTTTGTGGCGGATCATCCAGGGTTTCTCCATTGAGTGGATTCGACGTTGATTTTTGGTGTTTCTCTTTTCCTTCTTCAGTTCTTCTTCTCGGCTTCCGCGCTTTAGTGGGCATAACCGACCTCATGTGCATCTTCCGGCCTGCCATGACTTGGAAAGCCCTGCAATGAATACAAGGTTATCTCAATTCCGGCGGGTAACTTCCTCCGGGGCAAAACACACAGGGGTGTTAGGCTCTATGTCTTGCCATTATCCACTGCCCAGCTCGGTGATTGTCAAGAAGCGAGAGCTGAAACCTGAGGGCTCGTACAAGTGATAGGCAAGTCATCGGAAATTCGGATAATGAAATCAGGTTTGGGCAAAGCCTGGTTTGCCTCTGTGGGTATTGATATGGTAATAGGTGTGAGCATGCATGGATACTCATGTCCAAGTGTCGTATCATCGTTGACGACGATGAAGTTGGAAAGCAAAAAGAAGAGGAGAAGTTTGGTTCTATCGGCAGTGGACGATGTACGTGCACCTTGTTGCTTATGTGAATGGTAAGCGCCGGATGTGTCGAACCATTCTTGAGCGGAACATGACAGGACAGGATGCCGCTTTGTGTGAGTGTGATCCTGAGGAGAAATCAAGCGTGGGTGTTATCCCAGAATCGCTTACGAGCGCTGAGTGCCATCTTGTTGCCGGTAAATCGGTGCTGGAAGAAGTTGAAGACAGCAAACTCGTCTCTTGTCATGACATACGAGTCGGGATGCTCTGTGACTTTGCTCCAGATTCGTGCCAGCGCACCCTCTAGTATCTTGCTGATGGTAGGGTCAGATGAACCATCAGGACTCTCGCGGGCGATCTCGAGGGCCTGTGCAACACTGGCGTCTTGTTGAGATCGTGCATTAGCAGCGGCGGTAGCGGCCATTGCGGCGGTAGTTGTAGAATCAAGAGTTGGTGAGTGGGTGAGGTTGGTGAAGGTGAAGTAGGAAATATCTTGTTGTTGAGGATGGCGATGGGAAGAGACAGGACGGTAGGGGAGATAGTAGTAGGACTGTGATTGAAATTCTTGGGGAGCGACGGACATCATGGTAGTACTTGTATGTTTAATATAAGCCGGAGGAGTGGATGGGCTTGATGCAGGCGAGTCGCGCATGTATCAGAGAGAGATTTCCAGGCTAGGAGCTGGAAATAGAGCTGCCCTTGTGGAAAGTAGGTAACTTAGACAAGTGGAGAGGCAGGATGGGGTAGGGAGGGGGGCGAGTGGCTCGTGTGGGTTGACAGGCTGGTAGTGATGATATTAATGCCTGCCCAAGATCTGGAACAACGTCTCAAGTGGATCGAGTTATGACAGGGGTCAACAGGTAGCTAGGTAGCCCTGCCTGAAGGTTTGCTCCAGCCAAACTGTACTGTAGAGCGAGTGTGGGACGGTTGGGGTACAGTAAACTGTACGTATATGTGTATGCAAGTATGTACGCAGACAGGTGATAGGTATGGCACGGGCTCGATTTGTCCGTCTCGGGGATTTTGAGTTGGCGTCTGTCTTACACCGACAGCGATAGTTGCTATTGTGTCCAAACAGAACCCGAGATGTGTCGGGGCGTGGACAAGAAAAGGGTCCTTGTCTATGGTCTTGGTGGTTATGGCCCTTGTCAGTTTAACCCCAGCAGAGAGGCGAGAGGCCTTGTCCTTGCTGTGCTCTGGTCGTCCTTTTTTCCTTTCTCGTCCTGTCTGTGTGACTGGTGACGGAAAGCAACAAGGGTGCTATATGTATGTTTGTCGATGACAGGTAATTGATACGGATGGGCAGTAAGACTGAATACTAATTGGCAATGCAACTCTAAAAACGTCGATCAACGCCGCAGAAGATGAAAATTGATGATGGTGAGAAGAGAAGTAGTTCATCAAAAGCCCTGACCCAGGAATCCGGAGCAAACGGCTTTCCTTTATACTCACTCAAGCATGAGATATACCAAAGACTAACCTGAGAACCAGCGTGACGGGACGGGGTCTCGGCTCCAGCAACGACAAGCTCGCATCCGCCGCTTGTAGTATCGGTACGGTCAACTTTGTTCATTCTCAGAATGCGTTTTTTGCCATTGACCACGCGTTACGTAGGCTGGCTTCTTGAGAGTATGTCTTTACCTTTCCACTTTTTCTTGTTGTCTGCCAGGCCGCCGCCATAGATGTAGCCATGGATCGTCCCGGGGCGTCAGGTTTGACCACGGGGGTGTGGGTTGGACGGCCGATGTCTATCAAAATGGACATTATGCGAGGGAAAAGAGCAAGCACGGCAGAGCAAGAAAGGGATTGAGAAGAAGAAGAAGAAAAAAGGGGACCACAAATCGAAGCAGGGGTGTAAGAAAAGTTTAAACCCGCTGAGAAAGGATGCGGCGCACATTTTTAGTACTCAGTACTTCAAAGGAATTGGGTGTATGGTGGGCATTTCGTTTTGGTTTTCTTTTAAAGTTTTGCTTCCCTTCGGTCGTAGTGTATGTAGGCAGGGGAGTGCCACGATAAGCCGTGGGGCCTGGAAGGGTAAGGTAAAGGGTATCAGAGCCACTCAGACGACCAACCAAGGAAGGGGTGCAAGGCAAAAGGCAAAAAGGAAGAGAAAAAAAAAAAGCAGCTACGCCATAACGAGAAACGTAGTGAAGTGCGCCGGACCCAAAGTCTATTTGCACCAGAAGGCCAGGTAGTTCAGAAATGGGCTTTTGACTTCTGACCTTTTTTGGATTCAGACCCTCATGAGACCTGGTTCGGTGTGACTCGGTATTGCAAGTGCAACTGGGGCCACTTGAGTAGGAAACCTGGTCTGAAATGACCCAAGGCGGGTGGGAATAAGGAATTAGCAAGTTTTCAATCTTGTTGCTGTAGATCTCCAGATCCAAATCCATAGACGAACGGTGGTGCGAAACAACACACTGACGGTCTTGGAACAGACCGTCGTGAAGTAATCTAGATAACGCAGTTCCCTCTTTGGGTACACCAATGCAGAATTGGCAGAGTATGACCAGCGTTTAGTGGACCGACCCGGCCTGACCTGGCCTGACGTTGACATGAGTGGCAGTTATCAGTTGTGGCGGAGCCGAGTTTCGACTTGATGGATGTTGCCCTAATTGTCCATTGCCCGTGCCGTCCTGTCCTGTCTCGGAAATAATGTTTCAAAAAATCTCGACTTAGCCGGTATCTTGGTGACGACCAGGATGGTTATGCTGTGATAGTGGACTGCAAAGCATAATCCGTGGGCCCTGAAATCTTAGTCAGTTGTATGTAATAGCAACTTGCGGAAGTTGGGTTGGTCCTCTTGTTTGGGTTTCCGTTTCTTCACGTTCACTTCCGCTGATGTTAGACAAGCATGCAACGTTCTGAAGATGCCCGAAAGAGAAAGGTTGGTAGGGAGGGCCCTTACACAGTGGGTGTTGGTTGGCTCAATCAGTGCCTACTACTAGGAAAGTGCGGTGCCTACACTGTCCCTAGGTGGCAGGCACCCCGGCTCCGGCTCGGCGAGGCGAATGGCGCTTACCAAACTGGCAGGCATGAACTTCTGACATTTAGTGGGGATACATGCATTACGCCCCAACACCCGCGGCAACCACAAGTACAACAATCGCAATTGCCTGGGGACCTATAACCCAAAAGAGGCAACCATCCACTGTTAAGCGCGATTGACTTTAGTACCTGTCTCCCTATAGAGTTAGGCTCTTCCTCCTGACTTTAAATGGGGGTGTTGGCAGATCCAGATGGAGCCTTCACGCTTACCTTTAATGTGATATTGCTTAGCATCCTGGATGCTACTATTCTCTCCATAATGAGGTTCTACTTTGTTACTAAAGTTGGTAGTATCATTTGTTTTTTTGTGTAGTGAATTGCGTCGTTTATGTCATATTGAACATGCGGTCTGGAAAGAACTGATTTGGGTTTGCATCTGTACACAACGAGTAGTTGAAAGCGCCAGAGTAGATGCATTTTCAGTAAGCCAGCCTGCCCCAGCTAGACTAAAGATGCCACATAAATGATCCAATGTTTCTGGTCTGGATCTATTGATTCCCTACCTACCTACATATGTATGCTGCTGAGCTTTCAGCTTGGGTCAGGTCAAGCCAAGCAGCCCTATGTGCTCTACTCGGAGTTTGTCCAAGCCCTTGGCGTCCTGGTCAACGGCGTCATGGAGCTGGCGACCCTGATACCCACAAAGCTTCTGGATTCTTTCTAGCACCGGCATCGGCCTTCTTCATACCTCCAGATCAAGCCATGGTCCATCTCTTAAGCTTTTGTCCCTGTCGATTCCATTCCTCAGCCATCGAGAGTTCAAGTGCCTCTGAGGCCAATGGCATGTACGCAACTCAAAGGGCAAAAAAGTTAACAGTGATATCTGTGCTACATTGACTTTTGGCAGGCCTTTGTTTTTGTTTTTTTTTAGCTTTTGTGCGTTGCCAAATAAATTCAGGGTTCCTATAGATGGGGACGTCATACCGTGACAACTAAATTAGATCCATGGCAGATGATGCAGTCAATGCACTGACTGCACACTAATTAATGGATAGCAGATGATTGACAGGCTGGCGGTGATGCACCGGAAATGCAATGCAACCACTCCCCACGCCATCCGCTACACACTCAAGGCAGCATACATACATACCTAGGTACCTACCGGGTTGATTGTGTGCATGTAATTAGGCCTTTGACTGTTTTGTTGTCCGTAACTTTTCTTTTTGCTCGGTAGTCTGAAATAGGGTTCGTACAACTCATCAAACACGACACGACAGACAACAGGTATTAGTGTTGAGACCAACGTGTGGGTTGCAGAAAGTGCAGCGTACATAAACTCTACGCTCCATTTTTTTTTTCTCCCTCTAACTGTAGGTACTAACGTACATACAGCACTCACGTTGGCATTAGATCTACCGTGTTGGCCAACTTGATCTGCTCAATCCCTACAGCTCATCAGCTCTGAATGGAGTTGTCTCTGAGTCTCACTACCTGAGCCCTTGCGGTTGTCACCTTATCCTGTCTGTGGTTCGCTACTCAAGGTGCTGCCCAAACTTCGCCTAAAAGTCTAATTGTTTTGTACCCATCGGGCTACATTGGCACTGGGTGTAGATAGGTATAGGTTCGTCGTAACTGCAAGTTGACTCTCGTACCCAATAAACTTATTTATTAGGTGGTTAGTTAACACAAACAAGATACTTGCTTTGCTTCACCGACTGTTCCGCCATTCATGGTGGTGTCTACCGCTTGGTGCCTCCGTCACGCGGTCATTTCTGACTATACGACCTAGGCGCTCGATCGTCTAGCTAATTAGTTTGGTACCGTCCTGAACTGTATTTTGTGGTCGTAATTTGGCTAATGGACTGTTCCGTGCCTCTATCGAGTCAGCCTCAGGTCGTCATATCCACCTGGTAACTAAGGTAGGCAGGCAGTAATAGAAGATTAGACGCGGTGCCTGTCCAGCCGAGGTGCTTTGGGGCAGTTGGGGGACTGAGTAATTTACCGCCGGGCTGTAGGTTTATTCAACTTGTGATGGAAAAAAGTCTGGGCCTTTTTGATTGGGTACATATTTTTGACTTTGACAAAGACATGAATCACAACTGCACAATCAAAGTCTAACCCAAAAAATCAAAAATCAAAATCAAAACCAAAACCAAGTTTCCCCTATTTCATCATGCATTTTCATTTTGGAACCTGGGTTGGGACGATCACACAGCAAATGCTCAGTTCCGATATTGACAAGAAGCCTGAGCGTAAACGCACATGCGCATGCATGAAATGGCCGCGGCAGGACACCCAATACAGTATCAACGCCAAGACATTGAAAGGGTGACAACAAAAGTGACAAGCGACATATTATTTCCAGTCTCATTTCCATGCATGTCTCCCCGATGTTGCAGCAGCAGCCTCCTGTGATACCTGGGCTGATCGACAAAGCAATAGTCCGCTAGTGTTTCTTGGTCTCACCGGCTAGACAATAACGGACACATCACCGGGTGCTTTGTTACAAGTCGTATTGTCGATACATAGTTACTGCCTCATTATAGTGGACTTTGCCTGGGAGTGGATGATGTTTGCCTGGTCCACCACATGGTTCCGCTTGAGATCTTTGTCCCGGAGAATGTGTGGGGGATCAGGATCCATGCATGTTATTGTCAATGCCAACCCTGCCCTGAATCTTGTATTGTATCCACTCATAAATGTGTGCATGCACTTCTGTATTGTACTGATAATGGTGTGGTGTAAGCCGAATATTGTGCACTTCCGAGGTAGCGAGATAAAGTCTGGAATCAGGAGGCTGAGCGAATATTGAATCTGTGACATATCCATGTTATGGGTGATGCCAATAGTATCTACTGGTGCAACTCTGGGGCCTCCTATCAATAATATTGGAATAGTTTAGAGGTACCTAAGTCTGCTGGCTTAGGCTTGGCTCAGGAACATGAGTTTAGTACCCGACTTAGAAGGGGGAAGGACCACTTTTTCCCACATGGTCAACCGCCGTCTGATCCTTGGAAAATATAGTATATGTCTTGATACCTATTTTGCAATATGGGCAAAGTATCTAGATCTGTTTGTTTTGAGCCTGGACCATCAAGTCTTGCCCAAACGCTTTTTTCAGTCTGTCCCAATACCATACAGGCAGTAGGTTGTAGGTAGCAATTTCACGACCCCGTCCACTATTATCCTAAGCGTGCCCACCGCTGCTTCATCGCCAAACTCTATTCTTTGAGCACCAATTGCTCTCCCTGTTCTTGTTCATGTTTGCTTGCTAAGCCGTTACTATAGTCGTTTACTTTGGGCCGTTGAGCCGATCATTTCAGGGATCCCCTGTCCAGACAAACACAAACCTACTGTCGCGTACCCTATCCATAAAAGTCAATACATTTTTACCTTGGCCCTTTCTTATTGTAAGAAAGTTCTTGGTTTTGACTTTGCTTTGCTGTACTGTACTCTGTTGGTTGGCGAATTGATTACCGTTCTTAGTCTGTTAAACCCTACCCGCCCGGTCTCATGGCGCAGGATTACGGGCACAGGTAAATACGATATAATCAAAGAAGTAAATATTAGAGTTTGATTCACGAACGGTGAAAGAACGACTCGCGTCCACCCAACATGAATATCACATTACATAACCATACGTAATCAGTGGGGAGCAATACCCCTTGTGTCATTGATACCTACCTACTGATCAGGATTCCAATTTACCCTTTTCTCGGAGCCGCGAATTGGCGCCGATACAAATACGCAGGCAGTTATGCCTATCAAACCATGAC